TTTTTTTTTTAACCTTATTAAACTTTTTAAAAATACAAAAAAATTATACCTATGATAAATTATAAAAATAATAATATTATTATACTATGTTTAAGTTCTGTTTCAGCAATGTTTTATTTATTTTTTATTAAAATGTCTTTATTTATATATCATAAGATGGCATCAGGTTGCCTTGGTTGTTATTGTAAAGTCACTTTAGATAAACAATGATCTAAATGAAACAAAAAAATATTTTAGTAAATTTCTCAAAAATGGCATCCATTCTGCAAATTTGATTAGTTATAAAAAATGTATTAAAAATGAAATATAACAGTACTACAATATAAATATATATTCTTTAAATAAATGCATAATTTATTGGAGTCATTTGCTAGCACAGATTAAAATTTTTGGAACTACAATTATGCTTTTATTAATTTGTATTATCTATCATCTATCTATCTATCTATCTATCTATCTGTCTATCTGTATCTATCTCTCTGTCTATCTATCATTCTATCATCTATCTATCTATCTATCCATCTATCCATCTATCCATCTGTCTATCTATCCATCTATCCATCTATCCATCTATCTATCTATCTATCTATCATCTATCTGTCTGTCTGTCTAATCTATCGTTCTATCATCTATCTATCTATCTATCGTTCTATTATCTATCTATCTATCGTTCTATCATCTATCTATCTATCCATCTATCCATCTATCATCTATTTATCTATCTATCTATCGTTCTATCATCTATCTATCTATCCATCTATCCATCTATCATCTATTTATCTATCTATCTATCGTTCTATCATCTATCTATCTATCCATCTATCCATCTATCATCTATTTATCTATCTATCTATCGTTCTATCATCTATCTATCTATCCATCTATCCATCTATCATCTATTTATCTATCTATCTATCGTTCTATCATCTATCTATCTATCCATCTATCCATCTATCATCTATTTATCTATCTATCTATCGTTCTATCATCTATCTATCTATCTATCTATCTATCTATCTATCTCATAACTGCGCAATACTCTGTTTCTTATGCATTTTTCTATTCTATAATATTTATTTATTAAATGACACAAAAGCACACTAATGTAAATAAATATGCATAATTTATTGGAGATATTTGTAAGGCACAGATACAATTATTTCAGGCAAACATCAGTTTGTTCTTTCATAGTCCAAATACAGCAAAACACATATTAAAATAAGCCAAACGTGGCATATAACAGCATGTCGTTTACAGCGGTAAATTGACAGCACATAAAATACAGTAGTAGATAAATAAAATAATAGTACATAGCACAGCAGTAGTGCATCATTTATAAATTCATTTACAATAGTCAATTTAAAAAGGCACATAATGAAGGCAAACGTACATTAGAACCAAAAACAGGCCGAAAACTGTTTAAAAATATCTTGATAGTGGTAAATTAACAATACAGAATGCACTGAATATACTGAATATACACTGAATGATAAAATATACTGTAATAATATCCCATAAATACTGTATATCAATATAAAAAATAAACTTGGAGACATAATATATAGACTACATTCAGTTCTGATTTAGCGTCTTTTCTTCAAGTAGTGTGAAGGCTGAAGTGTTTTATCGTTTGGACAGTTGATCCGAGAGCCAATCCAGTCCTTCATATAAACCTGATCCTTGAACCGCACATGTGGCCTGAACAAACCACTGAGAGACAGAGAAGAGAAGCACGTGTTTATTTGACTGAAACACACACTGACAGCATGCACTACATGTCAAACAGAGTGTGTGTGTCACCTGTCTTCCTCTCAGTGCGTGTAAACCCAGTCTGTCTGTCAGCTCGTGGACCGCCATGGCTTTGGGTAAATCCTGCTTGTTAGCAAGAACTAACAGAAGCGCGTCTCTCATCTCGTCCTCCGCCAGCATCGCGTTTAGTTCCTCTAAAAATAATATTACAAAAAAAAAAAGCCTCTTTAAGACAAGTTTTGCAAATACAACCACACTCAGGCATATCTAGTACATTTAAAACTCTGTTACCTGTGTGTTGTGATAGTAATGTCTCCAGAGGCCTCGAATTAAACTCTGACTACCGACATCCCAAACAGTGAACGAGATGTTTTTATAATCAACTGTCTCCACATTAAAACCTACAGATGGCAGAATAATGAACAGTTTGACATGGCATGTTCAATTTATCATGATTTCGATAAATTGCAGCTTGCTTTGAGTTTCTTACCAATAGTTGGAATAGTTGTGACAACTTCACCGAGTTTGAGTTTGTAGAGGACTGTTGTTTTGCCTGCTGCGTCCAGACCAACTTGGAGAAGAAATATTGACATGTATTCCACAATGAACATGTACAAGATTCATAATTGAAATATCTTCTTAGGTTTCACTTAGCAGTTAGGCCTAATTAATATGTTAGTAATATTTAATGAAATAGGATAATTATAAATATAAATACATATATTTTAATAGAGTGATAACATTTCATATGCATTATTTGTCATAGTAAAATAATAACAGTTAAGATTAGGATTTTAAAACATTTTGAGAGAGAGAAAAAACATTTACTCACCCATAAGCAACCTCATATCTTTTTTCTTCAAGAGACGCGAGAAAAGGTTGGAGAAGAAGATGCCCATGTTTTTGATACAGCAAGATGAAAAAGCTGTTTGCTTTATTAACTGACAGTAAATGCTTACTGTTAAAGGCTCAGACTGCTAATGGTGTGTGTGTGTGTGTGTTTATATAGGCTTTTAACTCTCGGTTTGATTGACAGCTCAGCACACCACACGCGCTCAGTTTCTCTCGCGGCAAATCCAACGCGTTCGAAATGACGTCACCTACTGTACAGTACCACGTGTCCAAACAAACTTTTGATTTACAGTTTAAAGTCGGAAATCTCACCTAAATTAATTGTATAATTCGTCTATACAAATCTTGTTACAATCTAAAGTTTAAAATCTCTTGGCTGAATAAAAGGAGGATCGTATGCGGTGTTTCAGGCTTTGTAATGTAATTCTGAAGTATTGCTGAAGGGGTTTTACTACATAAATAATTGTTGTCAAATTAAAATTATAGCTGTTTTTGCAACGCCATTCTGTTAGTGACCTTGTGTGGTGGAAATTTCAAATAATTAAATAACATTTTCAATTTTATCTCATATGTCATCTCAAGCGTTTTCTGACAACCAAAACTAATAACCCTTGTTTATCTGACTTACAGTAGATGTAGAGTACAGTAGGTGACGTCATATCGAACGCGTTGGATTTGCGCGAGAGAAATTGTCGAGCTGTCAATCAAAGCGAAAGTAAAGAAGCCTATATAAACCCGCACACACTCACAGCTTGATCACACGAACAACCCGAGCCTCATCCTCCGGCCTGATCTTTCCACTAAATACAGCAAACAGCGCTTTCACCTGCACTTTATTCAAAAATGGGCGTATACTTCTCTAATCTTTTCTCGCGTCTCTTTGAGAAAAAAGAGATGAGGTTGCTTATGGGTGAGTACATGTTTTACTTTGCTGTTATTATTTGATTCTCATTCAGTTTTTAACAAATATCGCTCTAGTGCAAATAGATGCATGTTAATTAGGCCTATAACATTTTAGAAAATATTCCAATTATGAATCTTGTACATGTTCATTGCCTAATAAATGCAAATATTTCTTCTCCAAGTTGGTCTGGACGCAGCAGGCAAAACAACAGTCCTCTACAAACTCAAACTCGGTGAAGTTGTCACAACTATTCCAACCCTAGGTAAGAAAATGAAGGTCAAACAAATGTAGAAATACTTAAAGGGACAGTCACCCAAAAATGAAAATTCTGTCATCATTTACTCACCCTCAAGTTGTTCCAAACCTGTCTGAGTTTCTTCATTTTAGATATTTTGAAGCATGTTGGTAACCAAACAGTTGACGGAAACCACTGACTTTCATAGTATGGAAAAATGCAATGGAAGTCAATGGCTACCGTCAGCTGTAGCCAAACTGAAGTACTGCAGCATAAAGACTGCTTGAATTGTGTCTGATAATGACTGTCTGATTCTCTCTAGGTTTTAATGTTGAAACAGTTGAATATAATAACATCTCATTCACCGTTTGGGATGTCGGCGGTCAGGACGTTATCAGACGCCTCTGGAGACATTACTATCACAACACTAAGGTATGATCTGTCACAAAAATAGTGTTTAGTAGCTATTATTTTAACATTTCAAATCTAATCAGCTACTTTTATGAACTGTATTGAGTGTAAGTGTGTGTGTTTGTGTGATTCAGGGTCTGATCTTTGTGGTGGACAGCAGTGATCATGACCGGATTGAAACAGCAGCAGAGGAACTAAACGCGATGCGGGCGGAGGACGAGATGAGAGACGCGCTTCTGTTAGTTCTTGCTAACAAGCAGGATTTACCCAAAGCCATGGCGGTCCACGAGCTGACAGACAGACTGGGTTTACACGCACTGAGAGGAAGACAGGTGACACACACACTCTGTTTGACATGTAGTGCATGCTGTCAGTGTGTGTTTCAGTCAAATAAACACGTGCTTCTCTTCTCTGTCTCTCAGTGGTTTGTTCAGGCCACATGTGCGGTTCAAGGATCAGGTTTATATGAAGGACTGGATTGGCTCTCGGATCAACTGTCCAAACGATAAAACACTTCAGCCGTCACACTACTTGAAGAAAAGACGCTAAATCAGAACTGAATGTATATATTATGTCTCCAGCTTTGTTTTGAAATATTTATGGAATATATATATTGTTACACATCTTAACATATAATTCTAGCTCAGAGCTTCCTGTATAGTTAATTTTACCACTAATTATATTTTTTAAAATCATTGTTGGCCTGTTTTTGGTTCTAATGTACATGCCTGCCTAAAATATATGCCTTTCAAATAAAGTTTGTATTTATATACAAAATAATTAATGTTTTATTTATATTTATTAATGCTTTATTCATTAAACAGTTGTATTTTTTTTATATATATTTAAAATATAGAAAATTACCAGTTTACAGCAGATTAGTTTTACTACAGTAAAAATGATCATAGTACAATTTTTTACAGAACATTACAGAAATAATCATCAAATAAGCCTAAAACAACTTTCTGTGTGATTTCTATACTGGAATACTAGAATTAAAAGATACTAGAGTTAAATAAAAATACTAGAATTTAAAGGCAATGGAACAGAAATAGATTTATGCCCAACACAGCTCCATTATTAACATTTATTTGATATGTAATTAAATATCTTCATACATAATTCTAGATTAGTACATTCTGTATAGTTAATTTACCACTATATATATATATATATATATATATACATAATATTTTTTTCACATTTTTTTTTTTCATTTAAAATAGAATAGCAAATGACCAGAATCAAGGGTGTAGGTTTGATTTTGGCATTGATGGGAACATAACGGCAGACAACAGATTTAATTTAATAGTTTGATCAAAATTATTGCTAGGGACAATATAGTAGTCGCTGGATATTGGTAGGGACATGTCATAGCATCTCTACTAAACTCTACAGCCTTGGTAATCATTATGTAAAGTTAGCTACAGCACCTTCCCCCCTGACTTTTTATTTGTTTTTTAACAATTCCACCACTGGTGGTAACTATGACAATAGTACATTTTAGAATTAATATTTTATCAATTTTGGTCTATTTTGGGTTCTAATGTACATGTCTGCTTACAATATATGCCTTTCAAATACCTTAAACAAATGTTGTATTTATTTACAAAATAAATTATTAATTCAAAATTTTCCATGTAAAATATCATAGAAAATAATCTACAATAGTCTTACTGTGGTAACAATTTTTCAGTGTACAACCAAACATTACAAAAATAATCTACACTAGATTTCTACACTAGAATACTAAAACGGAATAGACAGTAGAATTAAAAGGCAATGGAACAGAAATAGATTTATGCCCAACACAGCTCCATTATAGACATTTATTTACCCCTGAAAAAATATACTTGTTCTTCATGAGGGTAACAGAACAGTCAAATTCTTTCTGTTGAAAAGCTACTGTGCATAATGTGGTTACAGAAAAAAAAAACATTAGTGGTTAATGGTTTGATAGAAAAATATTGTTTATGCTGAAACATCCGACTGTGGTTCGGTGTACACGGTTACTTGTTTTACAAAAATCGTACTTTTCCATTTATATCATTCTATAATAATCACCACGGGAACAAATAAAACATCCTGTACAGTAACTACCGATAGAAATGAGCAGATCAAAAATACAGATGTTAGAAAATATCCATCAGTATAACAAACAGGCATCGTGTCAAAAGCTATTCGTTATTTGTGTATTAGAATATACCTCTATAAAATTCAAGCATGTTAAAATAGGTTTGTTCTTCAAATATAAAACACCAATGGTTGCCCAACAACCAGTTTTCACAGGTTTGCACCAGAAACTATATCCGCAAGGCGTCCCATGATTCTCTGCTGTGACAAAACAGAACCAGCATCCTATTCAAAATTTTCCATGTAAAATATCATAGAAAATAATCTACAATAGTCTTACTGTGGTAACAATTTTTCAGTGTACAACCAAACATTACAAAAATAATCTACACTAGATTTCTACACTAGAATACTAAAACGGAATAGACAGTAGAATTAAAAGGCAATGGAACAGAAATAGATTTATGCCCAACACAGCTCCATTATTAACATTTATTTGATATGTAATTAAATATCTTCATACATAATTCTAGATTAGTACATTCTGTATAGTTAATTTACCACTATATATATATATATATATATATATACATAATATTTTTTTCACATTTTTTTTTTTCATTTAAAATAGAATAGCAAATGACCAGAATCAAGGGTGTAGGTTTGATTTTGGCATTGATGGGAACATAACGGCAGACAACAGATTTAATTTAATAGTTTGATCAAAATTATTGCTAGGGACAATATAGTAGTCGCTGGATATTGGTAGGGACATGTCATAGCATCTCTACTAAACTCTACAGCCTTGGTAATCATTATGTAAAGTTAGCTACAGCACCTTCCCCCCTGACTTTTTATTTGTTTTTTAACAATTCCACCACTGGTGGTAACTATGACAATAGTACATTTTAGAATTAATATTTGATCAATTTTGGTCTATTTTGGGTTCTAATGTACATGTCTGCTTACAATATATGCCTTTCAAATACCTTAAACAAATGTTGTATTTATTTACAAAATAAATTATTAATTCAAAATTTTCCATGTAAAATATCATAGAAAATAATCTACAATAGTCTTACTGTGGTAACAATTTTTCAGTGTACAACCAAACATTACAAAAATAATCTACACTAGATTTCTACACTAGAATACTAAAACGGAATAGATAGTAGAATTAAAAGGCAATGGAACAGAAATAGATTTATGCCCAACACAGCTCCATTATAGACATTTATTTACCCCTGAAAAAATATACTTGTTCTTCATGAGGGTAACAGAACAGTGAAATTCTTTCTGTTGAAAAGCTACTGTGCATAATGTGGTTACAGAAAAAAAAACATTAGTGGTTAATGGTTTGATAGAAAAATATTGTTTATGCTGAAACATCCAACTGTGGTTTGGTGCACACGGTTACTTCTTTTACAAAAATGTATATCATTCTGTAATAATCACCACGGCAACACATAAAACATCCTGTACAGTAACTACCGATATAAATGAGCAGATCAAAAATACAGATGTTAGAAATATCCATCAGTATAACAAACAGGCAACGTGTCAAAAGCTATTCGTTATTTGTGTATTAGAATATATCTCTATAAAATTCAAGCATGTTAAAATAGGTTTGTCCTTCAAATATAAAACACCAATGGTTGCCCAACAACCAGTTTTCACAGGTTTGCACCAGAAACTACATCCGCAAGGCGTCCCATGATTCTCTGCTGTGACAAAACAGAACCAGCATCCTGCATATCAAAGCATTCATATGGATTAGATAGTGTGACGGTCTTTGGTCGTCCACCGGTTTGTTGTTCAAGCTCAAGGCACCAACAGGAAGGTTGCATTTCCATCTTTAAATATCCAACACGCATGTACTTCATGAAATATGACCAGTATTAAAGCATAAGCCATGGTTATGCACATATCGTCTGTTGCTCGACACATTCGACAGATAAAGTGCAACTAACAGAAGCTCTTACTAAAGCTCAAAAACAATCATTTAAAATGCATTTCATCCTGTCATGTGACATTAAAGCATTGTCAAACTACATACTTGGTCCTAAAAGAGAGGCAAAATCATTCAAATCAAACTAATCAGAAAATCAAAGGCACCAGAAAATGCAAAACAAACCGTTTTCACCTTTATAGGTCAAGCGTGTGACTATATTGTGTGTAAGTATACAGTACAGGATCATTTTCTGAATGACGATGCATATATGAAAATCGAAGGAAGACCACAATCTCAATGCATCGGCACTGATGATTAAATAACTAGACTAGTTCTTTCAGTTTAGGTCAGTGAAGGTGGAAAGGAAAGGAAAAGATGATGGCTATTTTCCCTTTTGTTGTTAGTCAGTTTATGAATTAAAATTAAAATAAATACATATAAAACTGCACTGGTCTTTGCCTTCATTATGAGAGTTAATTAATGCCAGACACCTGCAATAATGTGCTTACTGAGCTTGTAAAGATGAAATATATTCACACTCTCTTCATCAGCATTTACAGGTTAGTAGTGTTGGTCTCTGTAAAACAGGACCTGTTATTGCAATATTACCTCAATGAACACGATTCAAAACACAGCTGGCTTTCATGAAAACATTTCCAGGGAACATTTCACCACAAACTATAATTGAAAAAATATTGTATAAATAAAAGCCCATTTTTAGAACCATTAATCTTTTCAGCATTTGATATTTTCTTCTCTATATCGATGATAATTCTCATCATTGCATTATAACTTGATGTAAAAAAAATAATTACTGAAATAATATGTAACAGTTTAATAATACTTATTCTCACTATCCATGATAATTCTGATTACTGCATTATAGCTTGATGTAAAAAGAAAAAGGCGAAAAAATTACTGAAATAATATTTAACAATTTAATACTTCCACGTGTAAATAATATGTCATTCTGTAATATGCAAAAAATTAGATTTGTTGCATTATAGTAATGAAATCTGGTTGGGAAATGTGTTTAATTATCATGCAAATACCACAATGCAAAAAAAAAAAAAAGAAAATGGAATCTAAAAATATAATATAAATTGCAAATTTTGGCATTGCAACAGTGCATATATATATATATGCAATTTTAATTTAACAAATTTAACAAAATTCAATTTAAATACAATGATAAAAAATTAATGGAAAACTCTGGGGTAAATGTATAATTATGTAAAAATGTAAAATGTAAAAAATATAATTTTCATTACTTTAATGCAACAAATTCCATTTTGACAGAATTGACAGTATTAAATTGTTAAATATTAGTTCAGTAATTGTTTTTCTGTTTTTGTTTTTTTTACATTAAATTACGTAATAATGAGAATCCATGAATAATGGGAATAAGAAAATCTCAGGATCATTACAGAATGTATACACATTAATATATATGGACTTAATGGACTTAAAATAGGCTTCATTTTCTATTTGCAAAATATAATTTCCTCATTTTGGGGTGAAATATGACCTGGACATGTTCTTGACAGGTTTCATGTTCTTGCTCCAGATGTTCTGGTGTCACAGCACAACCATTCACAGATCTCCATTCAGAAGCAGATCTCTCTCTCCTGACTCCATCTTCATGTTTAAAAGCAAAGGGAATGTTAATCTCACACGGTGAGACTTACAGCAGAAAGACTCAGAATGTGTCCGTGACACACGTGCGTCATTCTGCCATCATTCATCCCTCTGGCGCTCAGGCACAGTCACTTCCTGTGCGGTTTTTGGCAATGCCAGCATTGTCCATTCAAGGGCGGCAGATCTGCAGCAACAAGTGCACTTGAGGAGGATCCAGCAGAAATCCAGCACGTTCGTGTCTGTTAACCCTGTACGGTCTGGTCTGGTCTGTCAGAGCTGGCTGAGGGTCAGGGGCTCGGCGGTTTGTGTAAGATGCCCTGCAGGTCCTCTGGAAGAGACAGGATGATGCTCTCGATATGGGCCTGCAGTTTGGGAAGAGTTCCTGGTTTGACAGGAAGCTGATCTTTCTCGGCCTGAGTCTGAGACACAAGATGGAAAAGCAGTGTATGAATGTAATTACATATTTATGCAATCGATGCAAGCACTGTAAAAATTATTTTCAAAGTTGTGAATAAAAACGATTACTGGAGTAAATTTTATAAGAAAATACTATTTCAGTCTTTTTTTTACTTGAATTTTTACAAAATTTCAGGTTTAATTCAATGTCTATTCAAGTCTTTAATTCAAGTCTTCTTTTTTTAAAGTTCTAAACAAAGACTACTGAAGCAGGTTTTACAAAAAATATTATTTGAGTATTTCTACTTTTAAAATGTCATGTTTAATTCAATGTGTTACTTGTCGTTTATTTGTAATTGTGAAATTTACTAGCAATTTCTGAGTGAAATAGTAAAAAAAAGATTTTTCAAAATTATAAACAAAGATTATTGGAGTATGTTTTACAAGAAATTACTATTTTCAGTCTTTCTAAAACAAAATTTCAGATTTAATTCAATGTTACTTGCTGTTTCTTTGTAATTATTTGTGAAATTTAATTGCAATTTCTGAGTGAAAATTGTCTATACACCATTTTTTTCAGTGCATGTGACAATAGCTATTTTTCCAACCAAAGTTGTGAATTAAATTTGAATATTGCAAAAAATATTGCAAACAAAGTGGCGTTTCCATTCTATGTGTTCAAAAGAACACATGGGAAACTGTCGCAAAATATCAGTAATAAAATAATAAAAAGTTGATACAACCAGGGATGCATGCAAGACTTTTTTCCTTCATATTAAAGGGTCATGAAACCCCCTGTTTCAGCACTGGTTAGTTCTCACTACAGTTTTAAAAAATGCTAAAAACGTGGGCGTGGTGCGCAGCGGAGTGGAGGAGGGGGAAGAGGGGAGACAGACAACACACACAGCTTCGGGTTCAGACAGTTTCATTTCGCTCCCATCGAGTTAAAAACACAAATAAATGCACAGCCATTAGCACTCTGCATCGAAAACATATATATGAACGTGCTGTTGCACCTCTCATAACTTTTTAGGCTTATTCTGCTGCGTTTATATAAGCCTTTTGACGGCTTGTGTCATGGAGCTGTAAAAACGGTTATGCTCACCAAGTGAATGAATCGCGTTTGTGCCGAAGGCTTATTAAAAAGCAAAAACAATCGCTCTCCTTCCTTCGATCCATGAACGTTTCTCTCAGTTAATGTATGCGATCTCACAGTCTAAAGCGTCTGTCATAGCAAATCAACACATGCTGTTGTGAATAATTAAGCGAAGCGTCTTCTCATAGGATAAGAACACGCAGTCTCATGAATAATTTAATAGACACCGACGCGTCATCGATGTACTATAGTCCATTGCCACGTCACAAATTGTGACGTTAACACGATGTAGATTTTAAAGGGGTCATATGATGCGATTTAAATTTTTCCTTTCTCTTTGGAGTGTTACAAGCTCTTGGTGCATAAA